AAGGCCGCTGGCACGGCAGGCTCCTCCTTCTTGTCCTCGATGGCTTTGATGGTTGGCACCGCCACGGTCGGCGGAGCAGCCGATGAGGCAGCGGCGTTCCTGAGGTCCTCCTCTGTCGGCTCAGGCCTTTCCATCGACACACTGTCGAACAGGACTTGGAGTTGTCCTGCTTGGGACCCAGAGACTCTCGCAGCCTCGGACTTGATCGCTGCCACGTTCTTTCGCTCGTCCATCGAAGTGGACTTCAAGGTTCGCCATTGACAGAACACCACCTTTCCTTGGGTGACAACGGAGACTTCATCATTCAAGATCGCGGCCCTTAGCTGCTCATCCGACAACCCAAAGCGCCCTTTAAAGAGCGTTCTCGGCAATCCTTTGTCTCCCCACCCAGTGGCCTGCTTCTTCTCCAGACTGCTTTCCCCCGTCACTTCTGCGGTGTCGCAGGTGAGGGCAAGCTTCCCTGTGTCGGGGTCACGACTCACTGCGTCTTCGATAAACTTCGTCATGTTCTTCCTGCAGCCGTTGCCGCCGTTACTCAAAGCCTCCCACTCCGTCTTCATTTTCTCTGGCACTGCTCCTGCTGCGAGCAACACGTTGAACTTGAACTGCTTGCTGCGGTCTCGTCGACCCGCCCCACCAGCTTGGCTTCCTTCCTCCGGCTCTTCTGCTGGAGTCTCGCCGGACTCCTCAGGCTCAAGCCCATTGATCCATTCGCCAGTCAAGGCCTCTGCCATGCTTCGCTTCCTTGTGAAGGCCTTTGCCTTCGGGTCGGCCTTTGCCTTGGGGTCGGCCTTTGCCTTGGGGTCGGCCTTCGCTTTGGGGTTGGCCTTCGCTTTGGGGTCGGCCTTTGCCTTGGGGTTGGCCTTCGCTTTGGGGTTGGCCTGGTTGTCTTTGGGGTTGGCCTTCTTCTTGGGGTCGGCCGTGGCCTTGGCTTTGGGTGCTGTCTTGGCCTTCGCTTTAGGCTTGACAGGGTGCTTGGGTTTGCACTTCGACTTGGGCGTTGTGGGTGCTGGGGGTGCTGGGTTCGGCTTGGCCTTTGCTTTGGGCCCTTTGGGCTTGGCAGGGTCGGCCTTGGCTTTTGGCTTTGCGGGTGCCTTGCTGGGTGCTGGGCTCGCCTTCGCCTTTGCTGTGCTTTTCGCCTTTGCAACAGCCTTCCCCCCTGGCTTTCCTCCCGACTTCAGGATTCCCGGTCTTGGCTTACTGGGCTGGGCTGCTGGGGTCTCCTCTTCCTCCTCCTGCTCCTCCTCCTGCTCCTCCTCCTCTACCTCCTCGTCGTTGTCCTCTTCTTCCTCTTCTCCTTCTGGGTCCACTTCTTCCTCAACCTCCTCTGGAGCCTCTTGCTCCTCTGCCTCCGATCGCTTTGGCTTTGCCATAGCTGTGTGTGCGGGCACAAGAAAAAGATCTTGTGCAAAAGATCGCTTCGGGTCTCAGTGTCCATGACCGAAATATATATATATATATATGCTACCCCCCCCCTCCCGAATCCGCGCTTTGACTGTTTGTGCTCTACTGTGTCCTATTAAAATGTTATCCAACCCAAACCTCTAACCGACCCCAACCCCAAAGCCACAGACTCCACTCGCCGCGGCATCACCTGAGCTGGGCGGGAGGTTTTCAAAACAAAGTACGAAGACACCCTACACACCAACAAAAATAACTTTAGTTCCGATCCCATGGCCGCTTGTTTTTGCGCGAGGATGCCCCGTCAGTGAGCTCGCTTGGCGAGTTCGTCTAGGAGCAAGGCGTACTCCAACTGTGTGAGACGTCGTTCATCGTCATCGTCGTCGTACGTGAAACAGTTGCCCTTGCAGCGCCAAACCACTGTTCCTTATGCAAGACCAAGACTTTGAGCTCAGCAGTGATGTTTCTGCTTACAGTACTACGATATACTAACCGCGACCAGGATTCCGTTCGGAAGATTTACATAGCGGCGAGGCCACTCAACTGGAGCTTTAGGTACAACCATTGGGTTCACGGGCACAACACCCAAGACTAACTTGAGGATATCATCTGCGACACATACCGGGAGATGCTGCCATATCACCACATCAAAGGACCAAGTCTCCATGGCGTCTGCTTTGCAGGGACGATCTCCGACTCGACCTGTTCCTACGATAGCGTTCTTGAGTTGCAGCAGCTTCGTGCAGTCTAACGGTTCGATTGCTTCTTCGGGCACTGAGGGAGCGTTTCTCCACTGGAAGATCAGACAAGATACCAACGTACAGCTATTCAACCAGAAAACCGAATTACTGCTCCACATCAAAATGAACCCAAATACATTTCAAACGGCTACATAACCAATTTTTTTCCGGCCATGGGTCCAGAACTTGAGCCAGGACCTTTTCTAATTGCAGCTGAGTCGCTGTGTAACACCACCGCCAGAAAAGACTGAACAAGAACGCTTGTAAGTATGGTGTTCATGCAAGATAAGTGATAGGGCAGAGCTGCCGTATCACTTGAACATGCGTGACACGAACGACTGCATGTGTATACATTATTTGTCGTTACCTACACGCACACACATACCACACGTGTTGTCTTCATGTGTTGCGAGTGATAAGGCAGAGCAGCCGTATCACTTGTGACACAAAGGACTGCATGTGTATAAACTACTTTTTTGATATATAAATTCATGCATATACCGCACGTGTCTTCATGGTCTGGTTACGTACACGCACGCACATACCACACGTGTTGTCTTCATGTGTTGTGAGTGATAGGGCAGAGCAGCCGTATCACTTGAGACACAAAGGACTGCATGTGTATACACTGCTCTTTTGGTATGTAAACTCATACATATACCGCACGTGTTGTCTTCATGTGCTGTGAGTGATAGGGCAGAGCTGCCGTATCACTTGGGTGCGAGTGACACAAACGACTGCATGTGTGTGTGTGAGAGAGATTGTGTGTGTGTGTGCCGCATGCCTGCACATGATTGACAACATAGCTCATACCAGATGCACTTGCAGGGAGAATGCACGGACGTTTTCGTTTACATCGTTTCATGGGATTGCGAAAAAACAGTTAAAGCAAGACAACCAGCAGCGACGATTCTACAGCACAGTACAGCAGTTACAAGCGAACGAAACGATGTTTTCGAACCACCAGATGCAGCAGAGAAGGGCGGTCTGAGGGAGCTAGTCGCTCGAAAGGTGCCTCACGCGAGCGAAGATCAGAGTCGTTGTCATTGTAGACAGACTTACTTCATAAACTTGCGCATGTTATCAGCGCACAGTTCGCCAAACTTAAGCCATTGGTCCTCATTACGGTACCAATACTCATATTGAGCAGACCTCAGTTTGGCACATAGCTGTCTGCTACCAGCCTTGGTGTGCTGGTTCACTCTGACCCGGTCCTTCAAAATCCTCCAACAACGATCGATAATCTGTGTTCCAGACTTCACAACGATCTTTTTGTTGGACTTAGGGATCTTGTGGGTCACGACCTTGACATACTTCGGGTTCTGCCAGATGAACTTGCCGTTGCGCTTCACGCGCTTTTTGGCATTAACTACCTTGTCGTGAATGACACCGTCGATCTTGGCCTTGTAGGACCGGGCCGCATCCGTGTGGAGGACAACCTTGCGGTCCTTGAGAAGCTTCGTTCCTAGGGTCTTCCACTCGGTGCGCCTGATTGCTCCTGGCCCTGGTGCTCGCTTGACAGTGAGTTTCGGCTTCAACCTGGAGAGTATGAGCGTTTCAGGGCGGCCTCGCTGGATTACCCCCGCCCACTGTTCCCACATGGTCGTGGTTTTGTTGTTCTTCACGAGGTGCTTGAAGTCCACATCCTGGGAAATATCCCTTCTGTCGAATGTAGCTTCATCCTTGCATGTATTTGTTGAGTGTCTGAGAGCATTGTTTGTTTATGTCTTACTTCCGAAGCTTTATCTCTGAGATTCCACAATCTTTATTCGAAATACACCAAAGCCAGACAACATGATGTAGACGACAAGTTGCTGCTTCCACATCTTTCCAGGTTTTGCCGTCGCCAAACACGATGTTTTTCTCCTGCTTTTCCACGAATGCTTTACGAAGGTCGCAAATCCTCGTCTCCATGTCTTCGATAGCCTTGTGGTTCACATTCAAGAGGACGTGGATGGCTGGATGTGGTACGCGTAGCAGTTTAAGTAGCAGAAGAGATGCTTGTATCTGGAGGCCCCGTGAAGATGAACCCGTTCCTTGGGTGAATACCGGATGCAAGTGGTGAGGGCTCACATACTTGTGGCAATGGCGGGAGCTGCACCGATGTTTGTACAAAGAGGTGCGCTTTTCCACACATAGGTCGGACAAGATGCCAACCTGACAGTGAGGGCACGTCTTCCCTTTCCACTTCGGCAAAATCTTGTCCGCCACGAGCATAGTGATAATCTTCTTGTCGCTGGCCATGAGGAGCTGAGGAAGACTGCGTTGCCACTTGATCTGGTCCTTGCGTTGTCCGCGTGGACCAACAAGGAGTTGCTCTCGGACATACGGTGTGTCCTTCCACAACTTGTCCTTCTTGATGGCAGGCTTCTTCTGTGCAGCACGGAATTTGCCCTTCTTGTGGATGATGGGTTGCTTGCACACCTTTCCCATGGGTGGACAAAGCTAGAAGAAAACGGACTGGCTCTTGAGATGCTGCAAGACTCAGAAGCAGAATGCAGATTTGTTGGGAAGCAACGTGTCTTGATACTAAGCCACGATGTCAGACAAGACTGTGCTGCACAATGGAGCATGTTGATTCAAGTGCATACTGTTCGCAAGGATTTTTTCTGTCTGTGCAAGGCTGCGATCGGAGATTGACTCGTATGTATACGTGTTCTCTGAACAAAAAGGCAGTTATGTAATCATGCATAGTCACGGCAAGAATCTCGTGTAGTTACATGAAGATACCCGTTGTGCAAGAACACGATACTCAAAATACGAGTGTCACATCGTTGTCGACTGCACGATGGCTGTGAGATTAGCACTCAGATGTCTCAGATGTTGTTCTTGACTCTCAGATGTGCTGGATGCTGGGTTTCACTGGTGGTCGTCCTTCGCGAGTTCCTCCGCGAACAAAGCGTCGAGCTCTTGTGATAGATCATCCATAGGATCGCGGATAGGCGACGCAATGTCCATCTCACTGCCGGGACTGGAAGGTGGAGGATTTGGAATGTGAGGGCCACGCGGATCGGCAGAAGTTGCAGATGTCTTTGGCGATGGGACCTTCGATTTCGGAGAAGGCCACGGAGATGAAGACCTGGGCTTTGCACATGCCGCAGAAGATGGCGAAAGGTCGAGTTGTACATCTGACTTTTGAAGAATAGATGCAGTCACCGGTCGGGGAGATGCTTTGGGGGATGCCTTTGACGGAGATGCAGCTGATGATGAGTCTGAGATGTTAATCTGCAGAGGTCTGTTGCCAGATGATCTTTTTAAGTTTGCAAACATTGCCTTGACGTCCTCCGGCTCTTTTTTTATGGTGACCTTAGTACAAGAAAAGCACACAACCATAAGAGAAAACAAAAAAAACAATCATAGTAAAAAACCTAAAACCTCAAACCCTCACCATACCAGCCTCAGCCGAGAAACGCTTGGAGCAGACATCTGGGGATTGAGGTCTACTGCATGAGATTCCTGCTTCGGTTTATCTTCGTCATGGTGGTGCTCGTCATGACTGGTCTCGTTGGTGAGCAGAGCATTGGAAGACCGCACAGATTTGAGGCGCTTGGCAGGGAGGCTAGCTGGAGCATCTTGGCAGAGGTCGGGATAGAAGACGGTCGTGGCGTCGATGTTGGCGAGCTCAGGACGGCACTCACGCACAACTTTTTTACCAGAGAAGTCCTTTTGCATAACTGTGTAACACCGGCCAACCGCTTCACCGTCGAGGGCGGCTTGCAACAAGTTGAGCGACCATTGTAAGTTGACGCTGTGGTTGGGCGGCAGCTTGGAGAGATTACCCTTCTTGTAGGCGTCGAAGATTGGCCTGGCGCACGGCGACACCATGCCGAGGTCATCGGAAGGCCAAGCATGCCGTTTGACTGGTGCTTGCTGTGTGCCTGGAGGACGAACATAGATGCCCATGTCTGTGAACACGACGATGGCAGACCGCTTGAAAACGGCAATCAGATGAAGTCTTTGTGAAATGAAGGACGCACCAAGTCGTAGAAGGTCTTGAAGTCAACCTGATCAGAAGATACATTCTTGTCCATGGGCTTGGCGGCTTGGTGGTCGTAGGGGTTCGAGCACACCTGACAAAACTGATTCTTTTCATACGATGACGCATTGTATCGCGCCATGGTCTTGCGATCCACACCCGACACTTCCAAAATAGCTTTCACCGATGCAGGGAGCTCTGTTGGAAGGTTGCCATCGTCGTAGACGCGCGGCTTTGTCCGACGCCCCATCTCCTTCCGGAAGTAGTCTAGATGATTTGCCGTCTGGAATGTAGGCCCCTGGTCGTCACGACCCTCTTGGAGCAGCCAATAAGCGGAAAGAACCTTTGCGAGTGTGTAGGACAGCGGGCTTTTGCCAACATAGGATTTACCAATCCAGATGACACCGCTCTCGATGACATAAGGCAAGACCGGTGCGATGACTAGGTTGATGGCCCACGGAGTGAAGTCTACGAGAGTGAGCGGCCAGTCTGCGATAGTTTTCGCTTGCGACCCTTTGTCCGCCAAACAACGAAGATATTCTTTGATAGTGCCCCTGTCCCACCGAAACAACGGTCCGTTTGGATCATTGACTTGCTCCTCCGTCCAAGATGTGAACTCGCCGTTGGAATTTTCCTGCGGCCCGTGCTCCTTCAGGAAGGTGAAGCCTTTGCGGATGTCTTCCGTTTCCTTCACCGGCTTGGTGCTTGCATTCCCAGGGACGAGTTGGTGGTACCGAACCTGAAACCCACCCAAGCCTTCCAATAGATATTGTAAGGCACGAGAACCTTCACGGAAATTCTTCTGGTAGTTAATCTCCAAAGGCCTCCCCGTGCACATCGTTTTAATGGTTGAACTCATCATCCTGGTGCCGTCGGCGAACCTGACATGCTTCACAATATCCCATTTGTTCGCCCCTTTTGGCAGCAAGAACAATTGCATGGTGTAGGGATGGAGATTGTTACCTTTCATCTTGATTGGCTCAGGGAGATCGCTGTACCTCTGCTGCTTGAAGAGAGTTTCGATGATTTTGAGGTCTAGGTCACCCTCGTAGTCCATCAAAACTTCCAAAAACTGCACCTTTTTGTTCATACTGTCCACGATCTCGTCTTTTGCAGGCAGGTCCCCGATCTTGATGGCACCAATGGGCTTATTCACTACCAACGGCTTGTCCAAAGTCATGATTTTCATACCATCGGTGATGCCAATGGCTTCTTCCCATGTAGTTGTGCCGTCCAAAGTAGCTTCGTTCATGGATTGCGCGAGTGACACCGACCTCTGCGGTGGCAAGGACGCCATGAGCGACACAAGGGGGCAAAAGCTACAGCAAAATAACTTGAGCGAGTAGTCTGCATCAAGAACATTTGCTTCTGACACCATCATTCTGCACGAGACATCGTCTGATTCATGAGACTGTGCATCGTGGCAGGTCTTCAGAGTTACCGGTGTCTCAAACATTGGTTTTTTGAGACCCTCTCGAGACTTGGGAGCTTCAGAGCTTTCAAAGACTGGAAGGGTTTCAAAAAAATCCATCTTTCGCTATCGAAAAACAGCGAAACCTTGAGAGAGTCTCAAAAAAACCTAAAAAACCAATCGTGGCAGGTCTTGGGAGTTACCGGTGTCTGAAACATTTTTTTTTTTTGAGACCCTCTCGAGACTTGGGAGCTTCAAGGCTCTCAAACACTGGAAGGGTCTCAAAAAAAACAATCTTTAGAAGATCCGGTATTGGTTTTTTTGAGACCCTCTCGAGACTTGGGAGCTTCAGAGCTCTCAAAGACTGGAAGGGTCTCAAAAAAACCAATCTTTAGCTATCGAAAAACAGCGAAACCTTGAGAGGGTCTCAAAAAAACCTAAAAAACCAATCGTGGCAGGTCTTCGGAGTTACCGGTGGCTGAAACATTGGTTTTTTTGAGACCCTCTCGAGACTTGGGAGCTTCAGGGCTCTCAAACACTGAAAGGGTCTCAAAAAAACCAATTTTTGGAAGATCAGGCTTTCTGAAGAGTGTACGGGATTGGTTTTTATTGTTTTTTTGAGACCCTCTCAAGGTTTCGCTATTTTTCGATAGCGAAACATTGGTTTTTTTGAGACCCTCTCGAGACTTGGGAGCTTCAGGGCTCTCAAACACTGAAAGGGTCTCAAAAAAACCAATTTTTGGAAGATCAGGCTTTCTGAAGAGTGTACGGGATTGGTTTTTATTGTTTTTTTGAGACCCTCTCAAGGTTTCGCTATTTTTCGATAGCGAAACATTGGTTTTTTTGAGACCCTCTCGAGACTTGGGAGCTTCAGGGCTCTCAAACACTGAAAGGGTCTCAAAAAAACCAATCTTGGGAAGATCAGGCTTTTGGAAGAGAGTAAAGAGAAGCATGTCAAGTTTCACGTCCAGTTACATGTGCATGTGCACGTACACATTCACGTACAGTGTTTTCTGCATGCACATGTAGACATACACAGCAAGACGAACAACACTATACCGGCGCACTGGACATGCGAACGAAACCAAAAGAACAAAAAACGAAGGAAGCAGTGAAGAACTTGACCATGCACTCGAGGATCGCACCTGCAGCAAGGCTTGAGGGTGTGGATTCCGGGGGGGGGGGGTACCATATATATATATATATATATATACATGTGCGGAATCCCTAGCATTTCTTCGACCTCTACAGGCAGTTATATATAGATGAGAGCACCCAGGGAGGCCCGAAATTCGCCAGAAGGAGAAAAAAATTCAAATTAAGCTTTTCTTTCTGCATTTATAGTTTTCTGTATTCAACCAAGCTACACACACATACAGAGAAGGAGAGAGAGAGAGAGAGAGAGCACCGAGGGAGGCCCGAAATTCACCAGAAGGAGAAAAAACAAAATTTCAAATTAAGCTTTTCTCTGTGCATGTATAGTTTTCTGTATTCAAAAGCTATAGAATGAACCCGATTTTGTTTGTTTTGGCTCACATTGAAGACTTTTCCAGCAAAAGTGTATGCACTTTCGACCAAAAGTGTATACACTTTTGATGAAAGTGTATACACTTTTGATGAAAGTGTATACACTTTTGGTGAAAGTGTATACACTTTTGGTGAAAGTGTATACACTTTCGTGAAAGTGTATACACTTTTGGTGAAAGTGTATACACTTTTGGTGAAAGTGTATGCACTTTTGGTGAAAGTGTATACACTTTTGGCGAAAGTGTATGCACTTTTGGTGAAAGTGTATGCACTTTTGGTGAAAGTGTATGCACTTTTGGTGAAAGTGTATGCACTTTTGGTGGAAATGTGTGCACTTTTGGTTGAAATCTATACATTTTTGAAGAAAATGTATAGATTTTTGGTTAAAATCTAGACAATTTTGGTGGAAATGTATAGATTTTTGGTTAAAATCTATACAATTTTGGTGGAATTGTATAGATTTTTGGTTAAAATCTATACAATTTTGGTAGAAATGTATAGATTTTTGGTTAAAATCTATAGATTTTTCGTGGAAATGTATAGATTCTCACCTAAAATGATACATTTTTGGTGGAAATGTATGAACTTTTGATTAAAATCTATACATTTTTGGTAGAAATGTCTATAGATTTTAAGCTAAAATGTATGTGTGTTCTGCACAAGTCTGTGTTTTTGTGCAAGTCAAAAACATTTTTCAATAAAATCCATATGTATTCATTGAATTTTATTACTGGTTGCTGATAATCCACAATCAAAATTACAATCGTTTATATTTTTCATGAAGATTCCAATGGAATTTCTACAGAACTCTAAATTCGCGGATGAAATTTGGCTCTTTGTTTTAAAGAAGATGCTTGAAATGCTACGGAATTTACAAAACTCTTTTGTTTTACAATGTGAAACCGTCACAAAATATATGCAACTTCTACGGTTTCCGTCTCAAACCATTGAGAAGATTTTGACTTCATTCTGAACAATCACAACAAACCGGTTTTGGGAGCATAAGAACACTCACCCCACCCTATACCCCCACCCCACCCCCCATGATGGTTTTCGCTGTCCCCTTGTTGTGTTTTGTGGTGTGCTCACATAACCCTCCCCTGCCCTAACTCGGTGTAACACCAAGAAAGGAACAGGGGAGCTTGCTTTGTTGCTTTGGAGCTCGAAATTCCACTATATCTAAACCGGGCCGCGAAGCAAACTGTCCCTTTGCTGTCTTGTGTTTTGTGGTGTGCTCACATAGCCCTCCCCTGCCCTAACTCGGTGTAACACCAAGAAAGGAACAGGGGAGTTTGCTTTGGAGCTCGAAATTCCACAATCTAGACCGGGCCGAAGCAAAAACCATGAATTCCACACAGCTATATATACCACACATCTCTCCACTGCACAGAAGCACACTATTTCTGCGATGTTTTCCTCTGCGACCACACGGCATCCGACCAGCATGGGGTCCTGGCAGCGATGGCCACCCCCCGATGAACCCGAAACGAAAGCCCTCCACCCTAACCCGAGAATTCTTATATATAGCCCCCGATCCAGCTCTTGTGTGTCCCACAAGCCAGAAAGAAGCTGAAACCTCAGCCCCTTCAGCCACAGAAACCCGGGACCCTTGGCCTGGTGCACCCAAAACAGCTCTCTCTTATCCCCATATACCCAAAAATCGAACCGCTCTGCCCTTATATATATAACCCCAACCCCATAAACCTGAAACGAACCTGCCAGCCCTTAACCCGAGAACTCTCTCTTAACCCCGCGAACCCAAAACACACACCTTCGTCATGAATCCTCTAGACCCTCCAAGGATGTGGTTCGGAGAAGGAAATCGAAGTCACAGGAACCGATGTGTGCCCGAAACCCGCGAAAAGCGCCACGACCTAGCACCCTCCGGCCTTCCACTTCTCAACCAGACCAATCCACACTTCTCCAGCAGACGAGTCCAAACCGGACCCTGTGCGAGTCCGGGGGCAATGCTTTTTTGGATTCGTGGCTTGATTGTATAACAACCGACATGCGACCGAGTCTGTGCCCCGTTCTTTTGCTTTTCCATGCACTATATGCACACACTGACAAACACGTTGCGAGAGAGAGACGAACGATTTCGGTGCATCAACCGCAGAGAAATGAGACAGCACAGGGGTGCACGAGATTTTGCGGGTGGGCGCACAGCGAATCGCGAGCAGCCACGTGCTGTATCCCCTGACCTAACTCGGTGTAATACCAAGAAAGGCACAGGGGAGTTAGCAGCCAAGTGCTGTACACATCAAAAGGGCGATCATACTACACGGCCGAAAGTAGCTCCAACTTCCGGGCTATCACATCTTGCAGGGATTTGCCAGCAACCAGCATGTCCATGAGCTCCCGAGCAATCGCTGCCCTCGCTTCTGAAGCCAGGCCCACTCTGGACACCTGCAGAAGCTGATGGCCCCTCTTCGTGCCTGTCCACTCACAGATGGCAATCCTCTCAGTCGGAACCCCTCTGTCGTACATCACGAACATATATTCAGCACCATCCGGAGCAGTAAAGATTTGCTCGGCCTGACCGGGCACGGCCTTTGCCACCGCCGCCGCCGGTTCGGAAGGCACGGCCTTTGCAACCGCAGCCGCCGGTTTCTTCTGAACCGCCTTCGACTTGAGTTTCTTTTTAACCACGGCCGTCGCCTGGGCTTTACCCTTGGCCTTGGCCTTGGCCTTGGCCTTGGCCTTGTCCTTCGGCTTCGATCCTGAAGCTGTCTTGGTCTCCGAGAATGCAGGCCTGCGACTTCTGGCCAATTCAATCAGATCCAAGTTGCTCAGAGTCACCGGCTGCTCTGCCGCAGCAGCACCGGAAGAAGCAGCACCGGAAGGAGCCGAACCGCAAGGATCCGAACCGCAAGGATCAGAACCGGAAGGAGCACCACCGGAAAGAGGAGGAGTGGAAGGAGACTTGAGGACATTGTCGAACATTCGGTGCAATCCAGAACTCTCCTCGATCGCGAAGATCTCGACAGAGGTCTTCGAGTCATGATCCACTGCTGTGTTTGTCGTACACAGGGAATCAAGAGAAACCATAAAGGTCCGGTCCACATCGGAGTCAGAGCCATCTTCGTCCTTGGCAGCCTCTTCAGTCTCCTCGTCATTCAGCTCGATCTTGTCCATGACCATTGTGACTTTGAGTTTCTCTGCCTCAGAAAGCCGCCTGACAGCGGCTTCCCGTTTCTTCTTGTTAACTTTCAGCCGGCGAAACCAGCTGAGCAATATTCTGATCGTGATATCAGCACAGGCAGTGAACTTCTTATCGTCATGGCCGCTGGTGTTGGTAACGTCCTTGCCCAACATGCAAGCTTGGATTGCTGGAATCATAACTCTGCTGAGTACCTTGG